AGTTTGGCCCGTTGCGTGTGAAATCACTGCTAGCGCTGAGCGCACGCGTCCGTTAGCCGGAGGCTTAACGCTAAGGAAGTGGCTGTGCTGCTTTGCCCACCACAGGCATTTGAGCGAGTGAGAGAGAACCTCCGGGCGGTCGGCTCCTCCGCGTGGAACCAGGCCTTCGCTGACATGAAGCAAATATCGAATGCTGTTGTGCAGAACAAAGGGATCCTCGCCGCACACCCACTGGGCTTCTGAGCAGAACTGCTGCTTGGCCTGCCACCGAGCCGCTGACAAGCCCTGCTGTAGAGAGAAGTATTAAATGCCGCGCGTTTTCTAGAGCTGGGTCTGAGAAGCTCACATGGTGCCCCAGCGTGACTGCGGCGGCACGTGGGTGGCAGCGGGGCCGCGCGGAGAACCCGCAGCACGTCCTGCTCCGCCCTGCTCCTCCGTCCTGCTCCAGGAGGTGAATTTGGGCCACATGGGTTCCAGCTAAGGGCAGGCGTTAACTGCCTGGCCTGCACCCTGCCAGCCTGCTCCAGGGGTCCCTTTTGCTGGCGGATAGAGGTTCCCCAAGGTGCCCGGAGCCAGGTGGCCAGCTCCCGCAGCGTGCGTGGCCCTCGGGGCGAAGGGGAGAGGCCCTGGCTAGTCAGTGCGCACAGACTCCTGGCCATCTCCGCTCTCCTGCCTCACCCATCGGGGGACCCGCCCGGAGGTGCTGCTGAGTGAGCGTGGCTCTGTCCCAGCCTTTGGCCGCAGGCTTTCCTGGCTCCGGCACAGGGTTGTGAGCGCCAGGGGAGGTGAGCTCGGCTTTGGTGGGCTGGGATCTGGCCGGGAGACTGAGTCCAGGCAGGGGCCTTCTCCAGCCAGGGCTGCATCTGGTGTGGGACTGCACAGCCATGGCTTTGGTGGCGTCTCTGGCCGCCTCTTGGGGAGACTTTGCCAGCTGCAGCTCATGCAGAGACAGGGCTGGCGTCAAGGGAGCCAGGCAGTCGAGGCAAGCAGCCCTTGTCCCTCATTTCTGGGCTGCTGAGGGGCCCGGGGCTGCCGGAGAGCAGGAAAGGAAGGGGCTGGCGTTCTGGGAGGCCACTTGCTCCAGGGTCGCTGGGCACGTCCCTGCAGGCCCCGGGGCACTGCCCTGTGGCTGTGGGGCAGACATCGCGAGGGGCCCGGGGCTTTGCTCATGGACGGCTTGGTGGTGACACTGCGGGGTGCTGCCCTGTGGCTGTGGGGCAGACATCGCGAGGGGCCCGGGGCTTTGCTCATGGACGGCTTGGTGGTGACACTGCGGGGTGCTGCCCTGTGGCTGTGGGGCAGACATCGCGAGGGGCCCGGGGCTTTGCTCATGGACGGCTTGGTGGTGACACTGCGGGGTGCTGCCCTGTGGCTGTGGGGCAGACATCGCGAGGGGCCCGGGGCTTTGCTCATGGACGGCTTGGTGGTGACACTGCGGGGTGCTGCCCTGTGGCTGTGGGGCAGACATCGCGAGGGGCCCGGGGCTTTGCTCATGGACGGCTTGGTGGTGACACTGCGGGGTGCTGCCCTGTGGCTGTGGGGCAGACATCGCGAGGGGCCCGGGGCTTTGCTCATGGACGGCTTGGTGGTGACACTGCGGGGTGCTGCCCTGTGGCTGTGGGGCAGACATCGCGAGGGGCCCGGGGCTTTGCTCATGGACGGCTTGGTGGTGACACTGCGGGGTGCTGCCCTGTGGCTGTGGGGCAGACATCGCGAGGGGCCCGGGGCTTTGCTCATGGACGGCTTGGTGGTGACACTGCGGGGTGCTGCCCTGTGGCTGTGGGGCAGACATCGCGAGGGGCCCGGGGCTTTGCTCATGGACGGCTTGGTGGTGACACTGCGGGGTGCTGCCCTGTGGCTGTGGGGCAGACATCGCGAGGGGCCCGGGGCTTTGCTCATGGACGGCTTGGTGGTGACACTGCGGGGTGCTGCCCTGTGGCTGTGGGGCAGACATCGCGAGGGGCCCGGGGCTTTGCTCATGGACGGCTTGGTGGTGACACTGCGGGGTGCTGCCCTGTGGCTGTGGGGCAGACATCGCGAGGGGCCCGGGGCTTTGCTCATGGACGGCTTGGTGGTGACACTGCGGGGTGCTGCCCTGTGGCTGTGGGGCAGACATCGCGAGGGGCCCGGGGCTTTGCTCATGGACGGCTTGGTGGTGACACTGCGGGGTGCTGCCCTGTGGCTGTGGGGCAGACATCGCGAGGGGCCCGGGGCTTTGCTCATGGACGGCTTGGTGGTGACACTGCGGGGTGCTGCCCTGTGGCTGTGGGGCAGACATCGCGAGGGGCCCGGGGCTTTGCTCATGGACGGCTTGGTGGTGACACTGCGGGGTGCTGCCCTGTGGCTGTGGGGCAGACATCGCGAGGGGCCCGGGGCTTTGCTCATGGACGGCTTGGTGGTGACACTGCGGGGTGCTGCCCTGTGGCTGTGGGGCAGACATCGCGAGGGGCCCGGGGCTTTGCTCATGGACGGCTTGGTGGTGACACTGCGGGGTGCTGCCCTGTGGCTGTGGGGCAGACATCGCGAGGGGCCCGGGGCTTTGCTCATGGACGGCTTGGTGGTGACACTGCGGGGTGCTGCCCTGTGGCTGTGGGGCAGACATCGCGAGGGGCCCGGGGCTTTGCTCATGGACGGCTTGGTGGTGACACTGCGGGGTGCTGCCCTGTGGCTGTGGGGCAGACATCGCGAGGGGCCCGGGGCTTTGCTCATGGACGGCTTGGTGGTGACACTGCGGGGTGCTGCCCTGTGGCTGTGGGGCAGACATCGCGAGGGGCCCGGGGCTTTGCTCATGGACGGCTTGGTGGTGACACTGCGGGGTGCTGCCCTGTGGCTGTGGGGCAGACATCGCGAGGGGCCCGGGGCTTTGCTCATGGACGGCTTGGTGGTGACACTGCGGGGTGCTGCCCTGTGGCTGTGGGGCAGACATCGCGAGGGGCCCGGGGCTTTGCTCATGGACGGCTTGGTGGTGACACTGCGGGGTGCTGCCCTGTGGCTGTGGGGCAGACATCGCGAGGGGCCCGGGGCTTTGCTCATGGACGGCTTGGTGGTGACACTGCGGGGTGCTGCCCTGTGGCTGTGGGGCAGACATCGCGAGGGGCCCGGGGCTTTGCTCATGGACGGCTTGGTGGTGACACTGCGGGGTGCTGCCCTGTGGCTGTGGGGCAGACATCGCGAGGGGCCCGGGGCTTTGCTCATGGACGGCTTGGTGGTGACACTGCGGGGTGCTGCCCTGTGGCTGTGGGGCAGACATCGCGAGGGGCCCGGGGCTTTGCTCATGGACGGCTTGGTGGTGACACTGCGGGGTGCTGCCCTGTGGCTGTGGGGCAGACATCGCGAGGGGCCCGGGGCTTTGCTCATGGACGGCTTGGTGGTGACACTGCGGGGTGCTGCCCTGTGGCTGTGGGGCAGACATCGCGAGGGGCCCGGGGCTTTGCTCATGGACGGCTTGGTGGTGACACTGCGGGGTGCTGCCCTGTGGCTGTGGGGCAGACATCGCGAGGGGCCCGGGGCTTTGCTCATGGACGGCTTGGTGGTGACACTGCGGGGTGCTGCCCTGTGGCTGTGGGGCAGACATCGCGAGGGGCCCGGGGCTTTGCTCATGGACGGCTTGGTGGTGACACTGCGGGGTGCTGCCCTGTGGCTGTGGGGCAGACATCGCGAGGGGCCCGGGGCTTTGCTCATGGACGGCTTGGTGGTGACACTGCGGGGTGCTGCCCTGTGGCTGTGGGGCAGACATCGCGAGGGGCCCGGGGCTTTGCTCATGGACGGCTTGGTGGTGACACTGCGGGGTGCTGCCCTGTGGCTGTGGGGCAGACATCGCGAGGGGCCCGGGGCTTTGCTCATGGACGGCTTGGTGGTGACACTGCGGGGTGCTGCCCTGTGGCTGTGGGGCAGACATCGCGAGGGGCCCGGGGCTTTGCTCATGGACGGCTTGGTGGTGACACTGCGGGGTGCTGCCCTGTGGCTGTGGGGCAGACATCGCGAGGGGCCCGGGGCTTTGCTCATGGACGGCTTGGTGGTGACACTGCGGGGTGCTGCCCTGTGGCTGTGGGGCAGACATCGCGAGGGGCCCGGGGCTTTGCTCATGGACGGCTTGGTGGTGACACTGCGGGGTGCTGCCCTGTGGCTGTGGGGCAGACATCGCGAGGGGCCCGGGGCTTTGCTCATGGACGGCTTGGTGGTGACACTGCGGGGTGCTGCCCTGTGGCTGTGGGGCAGACATCGCGAGGGGCCCGGGGCTTTGCTCATGGACGGCTTGGTGGTGACACTGCGGGGTGCTGCCCTGTGGCTGTGGGGCAGACATCGCGAGGGGCCCGGGGCTTTGCTCATGGACGGCTTGGTGGTGACACTGCGGGGTGCTGCCCTGTGGCTGTGGGGCAGACATCGCGAGGGGCCCGGGGCTTTGCTCATGGACGGCTTGGTGGTGACACTGCGGGGTGCTGCCCTGTGGCTGTGGGGCAGACATCGCGAGGGGCCCGGGGCTTTGCTCATGGACGGCTTGGTGGTGACACTGCGGGGTGCTGCCCTGTGGCTGTGGGGCAGACATCGCGAGGGGCCCGGGGCTTTGCTCATGGACGGCTTGGTGGTGACACTGCGGGGTGCTGCCCTGTGGCTGTGGGGCAGACATCGCGAGGGGCCCGGGGCTTTGCTCATGGACGGCTTGGTGGTGACACTGCGGGGTGCTGCCCTGTGGCTGTGGGGCAGACATCGCGAGGGGCCCGGGGCTTTGCTCATGGACGGCTTGGTGGTGACACTGCGGGGTGCTGCCCTGTGGCTGTGGGGCAGACATCGCGAGGGGCCCGGGGCTTTGCTCATGGACGGCTTGGTGGTGACACTGCGGGGTGCTGCCCTGTGGCTGTGGGGCAGACATCGCGAGGGGCCCGGGGCTTTGCTCATGGACGGCTTGGTGGTGACACTGCGGGGTGCTGCCCTGTGGCTGTGGGGCAGACATCGCGAGGGGCCCGGGGCTTTGCTCATGGACGGCTTGGTGGTGACACTGCGGGGTGCTGCCCTGTGGCTGTGGGGCAGACATCGCGAGGGGCCCGGGGCTTTGCTCATGGACGGCTTGGTGGTGACACTGCGGGGTGCTGCCCTGTGGCTGTGGGGCAGACATCGCGAGGGGCCCGGGGCTTTGCTCATGGACGGCTTGGTGGTGACACTGCGGGGTGCTGCCCTGTGGCTGTGGGGCAGACATCGCGAGGGGCCCGGGGCTTTGCTCATGGACGGCTTGGTGGTGACACTGCGGGGTGCTGCCCTGTGGCTGTGGGGCAGACATCGCGAGGGGCCCGGGGCTTTGCTCATGGACGGCTTGGTGGTGACACTGCGG